TTGCTGTAGGACCGACAAGGCGCTACGCCTACGACCTACACAGTCGCTTTTGAGACCTCTATTTAACAAAATTTATACCGTTTCCATATGACAACAATTCAATGGCATATTATGATTATATTATACGTATCTGAACCAGAGCCAGATACAGAAACGTACGCGTGAAATGAAACTGCGCCCAAACCCCGGGAGACAATAAAAGGGCAAATATTTCCAAGCATATACGATCATACGTTTTCGTTGCTTGATTTTCTGACTTGTTTGTTGCTATAAGAATCTACAGTTTAGCATGTTTGTATAATTTAAAAGCAAACAGAAACCAATTTAGCAAGTATTTTGAAGTATATATGATTCTCAAAGATGATTGTATAGAACGGTCACTCCTTGCAATCGAAGTGTGAGGTGCGGAAGTGGAAACATGTAATTTGATACTTTTCCATCCCCCTCTTAGGTTATCAATTTTCTATCGGTCACGTGACCAGCCCGACCAGGGTCTTTGCTTCCCAAGAGCAAAGAGCCTGGGAACGAGGTTGGATTTCAACTTTCAAAAACATATATAGGCTATTTGGAAAATCACGTTCCATACAATGAGCTTTGAAGCAATCAATGTTTGAAGAAAAATTTACGGACTATGGGAAATCGTGAAAAATGGGGCAAGTTTGCTTTGAATTATTAATGTTTATGAATTTTGTTGCTTTTAACTTTTGCCTAAAACATGAACTATTTTCCTTTCCAACGAATCTGTAAGTTTCCTAACTAAATTATACTTTTTAATTTAAGAAAAAACCGTAAAATAAAGGACGACAAATTGATTTGAAGAGTCGGAACTGAAATTACCGAACAATTTGAACTTATTATGTTTACGGCAAGTGTAGTCTTTTTAAAATAGTTGGATGCAGAACATTTCAAACTGTTTTTAACGAAGAGTTTCAAGTTAAATTTTACATTAAATCAAAAGCAGAATAACAAACCTACAAAAAGCAGAATAACATTCCGACAGTATATATTGTTGTATAACTAAAAGTCCCAAGCTTTCAACTAATTTGCCGTTTTGTACAAAAAGATACAAAAAAATGAAAATTTAAAAATATCGTGTTGTCGTGGCAACACTTCTAGTATTGGGCATTTTTAAATACTTCATGTTAATAATTCGATGTTTGGAAAATTTAGGCGAGGGGTTGCTGCATGCATGAATTTCTAGTATATATACTTAATAATACAAGTGAGACTTAATGTTTTTGCTTTTTGGAATAGAATACCGTTATTTTTTAATGGGTCGACAGCTTTTATCGTCTTTATCAGGACTGCTTGTAAATGCATATACTGTATATCACTTTGACACGTCTATGACACTATTAAATAAATATACAAATATATTTGAAAGCGTTGTGTTTTAGAGCATATTAATGACTAATGAACTAAAACAGATGATTCACAATGAAAACTTTAAAAATGTTAGTAAAAGTATGTTTATTCGTATGACAGTCTGTGCGAGTCTGACACTGTAAATTTGTTTGGCTAGTATATCAAATGTTTACATTTGCTAATACTGGGCTCTAGTCCCAGACAATACAACACTGTTTCTTTCAATCTTATAACCAAGGCGCGTGGACGTAGTAACAAGTAATTAAATCGGGGCAAAGCATATAAACATTTACAAGAAAAGATAAATCTAATGGCGTATTTTAAAAACATTACATATGTAGAAATGACTGAAAATCTCATAAACGTTTGTTATAAAACCGCGCTCGATTGTGAAAAGACGGCATTGAATAACAACACGAGAGAGCACTGTGAGTAACAATTTGCTTGGTTTCTTTACTTGGCTGTTGGTAAAAATGTAAGAATGTTCTTGTAAATTCAAAGCAAAGAAAATAAACAAAAATTAGCAAGTATTTTGAACTGTTAAAAAAAATATCTCCACTGGAATCATGTTAGCCTCCTGCGCAGACGTTGTTAGTGGCCCGAGGCCTCACCTAACGTCTGCTCACATTCGCTATACATTTGACTTCCCGGCAATTAACCAATCACAATCATCTACACGATAATTGGAAGATCGGCCTTCAATGACCTTCACACGCATGGGCTATATCAACAAGTCTGTAGTATTTTTAAATTTGAAAGTTTTAACACTGCGCATTAGAAAAAGGCTTTTCAGTCTATTATTATAAACGAAAAGGATGTTGTCGTAAATCTTACAACTGACGCAGGAAATCCCTTATTTATCACGCCGTTACCGAAGCTATTCGATGTAATATTCGGATTTAAATATTTAAACAAATTGTAAACATTGTAAACATTTAGTAATCGTGGTTTCGGTTGATAAATTCAATACGAGATCAAGTCAAAAAACTACATGATCTAGGAGTCAGTGCTGTGTCATTATTAAGTTGAATCGACAGCGATAAAGAAGCGAAGGCATTGGAAGAATGGAAATATTCTGACTGTATTATATGCAGAATCATTGTTGAAGACCGAACGATGGAAACGAATGCTTCAACAAATGTACGTATAGCAAAATGGTTTGTGCTTTGGCTGTTGATGCATGAAGCTCATGCGATTAAAGAATGGTATGTATTATAATAAATCCTAAAAATGTGTTCGCTTTTGTAATTCCCAAAGACACAGGAATCGATCGGGCTTGGCCATTTTAATAGTCATTATTCATTAATATTTTGTATTGTTTATTTAAATTGAATTTGTCTTTTTATACATTGCCTCGTATTATCTATTTGCATGTAGTACTAGCATGCAAGTTTATATGAGGGCAATTATGAAGGGTTTACATCAGAGGGTTGGGGCATGTATATTAACTAGAATGGCTCATAAACTTGCTGGTGCTACGTGCAATAGATAATACGAGGCAACGTATAAATCAAGACAATATAAAATAACGACTATTAAAATGGTCAAAGCCGATCGATTGCTGTGGCTTTGAGAATTGCAAATGCAAACACATGTTTAGGATTTATTATAATACATACTGAAATGAGCTTCATGCATCAATAGCCAAAGCACAAACCGTTCTGCCATACACTTTGTCTTTGTCTTCAGCAATGACTCTGCTGTGCCATATAATACAGTCAGAATATTTCCCATCTTCCAATGTCTTCGCTTCTTTATCGCTCTCGATTAAACTTAATAATGACACAGCACCGACTCCTAGATCGTGTAATTTTTTTACTTGATCACGATCGTATTGAATTTATCAATGACGAAATAAATCACGATTACTAAATGTTTACAATGTTTACAATTTGTTTAAATATTTAAATCCGAATATTACATCGAATAGCTTCGGTAACGGCGTGATAAATAAGTGATTTCCTCGGGCGCTAAATTTTGGACCAAGCACGTGACCAGCCCATACAAGGGTATTTCCTAAATACCCTGGGAACGAGATTGGTTTCTGCATTGACTTTATCATTTGTTTTCTTGGGATTTTGAGCGATTGACTGTTCTGCGTGAGAACGAATGCAGATAATTTTAAAACTAGGCAATAAAACGCAAATCCCAGCGGCAAATTTTTAGAAAATTTCTTATTTTACCTTGTCATGTTGAATCCAATCAAAAACATTAATATCCTCACCCCCCCTCCCCCGAAGCTTTATTTAAGGCCCTATCCAAATGTATGCTTTTACCGGAAGTGGGCTTTCTGTGCTCGCAGGAAAACTACTTACAATAACCAATTACGCATTCCAGTGCATTTTTAAGGGTCCATTCTCTCCTTGCCCTGCCCTGCCCTGCCCTGCCCCAAGGATAAAGGTGTAAGCCGAGTACCGCAGGCCTGAGTTATCTAATGGGTCTGGGGGCATGCTCCCCAAGAAAACGTTTAAATTTTGGGTCTAGTTCTGAAATTGCAACTCCTGCATTCTTAAAACACATTTAAAAAAATTCTCAGCTTTTCAAAACAAATGGTGAAATTTGTAATAAATTGCATTTAACAAACACGTCAGTCCGGATGAATCTCATAATCACCAACAAATTTTGTTTTTATAAACTTCCTTTTAAATGTTAAACTCATTTAATCAATACAGGTCTTGGGGCCCTGGCTTTGGGGCAATAGGCCATTTTTTTCTTCAGCGGGGGCAGAGGAAGGGGACCAGTGGGGCAAATGCCCCACCAGTCCATGGTATTAAAAAAATGCCTTGAGTCGCATTCTGATTGGCTTACAGCAATATTGTCAACAAATGCGCTAATTGGTCGAGAACAAAATTCCCCCTTGTCCGCCCGGTCCGCTCTAAAAGGCAACTGTCCGCTGTGAAATGCAACTACTAGTTCTGGTTTCGGGGCAACAACCGAAGAGTGAAACAATATTTAAACGAAAAAATCTGCCCAAAACTTTTGAAAAAAGTAGCCCAACGATAGTCAGAATACGAAAATGAATTGCATCAAGCCCTAAAGACTTCATACTAACCACGATGTACACCAAAATTAACAATATTTTGATAGAAATGCGACTGAAAGTCGAAAAGTTATTTGAAATTTATAAAATTTACGCCGAGAAAACTATATTTTTTTAATACTCATGCATAAGGTATAGTATTCGTATTCGTGTTTTACAGTATATCTTTGAACTTTTCAATTTTTGTCAGCCTCACTTTAACAATACACAACTGATCTCAAATTAGTTCGCAAACAACACTGGAATGTTAATGAATTCAATTTTTACACTTGATAAGAAATAAACACGTTATTTACCGGCAGCGTCGGTCCGGATCAGAAAAACTGTGCCCCCGGTCTTGAAAACGTCCCTCGCCCTTTGGCCTAGAGGCTCATCCGAACTTCGCAGCCGGTCAATGCCATGTATATATATTCGTCATAACTATACATTTATAACTACATTCGTATTTTTAGATCATTTTGATAAAGGATTAAAAGACCGTAAAGAAAATAATCCAAACCTTGCTGAACACTCACTCAGTAAAGCTTTAAAGATTTTATCCGCATTGCCAAATTCCTCAAATTTCAACAAAGAGAAAGCGACATGTTTTCATACCATGGCGGAGATATATTTAACCCGAGCCTCTCAACACCTGGATGACGATGGTTTTTGTGAAATGATGATTAAAGGCATCGCTCTGTTCGAGGCTGAGCGAATTTACAAGTATGGCAGTTACAGAGAAGACAAAGAAATCAACACAGCCATCATGGAAGCAGAGATAAAGTTTGTTGATAGAGTATTCGGGCCTAGTGGCGCTGAACGCTTTAACGAAATGAGCGATAGAAGAATACTGAATCGCAAAAAATTGGAAGAAGTTCGTTTAAAAGTCACAAACGAATATCTTCCCACGCTTGCCAAATTTCCAGACTGGAACTCAGAAGAAGAAGAAAAAAGATGCCACCAAATAGAAAGTATGTATAAAAAAATTTACGATGACATGAAGTGCTTCCTGGTTGACATTTTGTTTCATTGTAGTCAAATTGCAGGTCCAGCACCCTGCAACTTCTCCATCATTGGTCTAGGATCTACATCTAGAAAAGAAGTCACTCCCTACTCTGATTTAGAGTTTTCAATTCTGGTTGATGACAACATCAAAAACCCTTCACCAGAACAACGGCAGTATTTCCGATTCCTGACATATTTTATTCAAATACAAATTATCAAATTAGGGGAAACCATTTTGCCAAGTGTTGGCATTTCTAGTTTAAATGATTTCTACAGTAAAAATAAAGAAGATGATTGGTTTTGCGATGATATCATTCCAAAAGGATTTTCGTTCGACGGTATGATGCCGTGGGCGTGCAAGACACCTCTTGGAAGAAAAGAATGGCGCGGCCTACCTCGACAAGAATACATCATGACTGTTGATGAAATGCTGAAGCTTCAAGACATTATTCCTGGCTCTTCTATGGAAAGTCTGAAAACTGCAAATGTTTTCAGGAGCGTGTGTCACCTTTTTGGCGACGAAAAACTTACGATGACATACGAGCAGAAATTGTTAGCCCAACTCACTCATACTGACAGAATGAGAAATTCACAAAAACAAATATTGCAGATCATGCAAAGTTTGTTGGAAACCTATGGCAACGAAGGGATGACAACCCAACATTTTGGAACACAGCAAGACGTGAAGAAAGAGGTCTATAGATTGACAAGTCTTCTGGTTGAACAATTATCAAAATTATTTGGAATTTTCGGGCGAAGTTCGTGGCAATGTGTACATGAAATGAAGATGAAGAAGATACTCACTGAAGATGGGGCTAAAAATCTACTTGCAGCATTGAGTATCACAACAGAGCTTCGATTAAAGTGTTACCAGAAACATGGTAGGCAAAAGGAGGCATTGCCTACAGTTCCACAACTGTCAGTAACAGAAGAGAAAAATATTCCATATCCCCACTCGACAGCTATCATTCGTCTTTATCAAAGTCTTATACCGTTAAAATCGGTCGTACTTCGAATTTTAGAAGTTTACGGGAATGATGATCTGGATGAACCAGAAACGTTGGTTCTTGAAGTGCTTCAGCAAGCGAATTTTGTGGATATTTCGCCATTGACAACAGCTACAGCGTACCTACGTGTCTTACATCTTCCTAAAGCGTTCGATTGTTTACTTTCTGCCAAAGATGGCAAAATGGATAATGCCAGTAGGGTGGAAATATTTCTCTTGCTCGCCAATTGTTACCAAATGGTTGGCAAGTTTCACGAAGCCATTGAGTGTTGCCGTGAGGTGGAAATCCTGTACACAGGGGCACCGGATGTTGTTGAAAAAAGCAGTTTATTAGTTGCATTGATGCTGATTATGGATATCTATACAAATCAGGGCCTCTTTCGAGAAGCTGTCCAAATGTACAAACAAATCGTGGATTTTCAAGAGAGGCAGGATTTTCAAGAGCGAGATGTTTTGAACGAGAGTTTCGTTAAGAATGAATTGGATTTTATTAACAGCAGCGCTGTTCTTTTTATGCATATGAAGCAGTACAATAAAGCTGAAAGCATACTTAGACGTATCACTCAGATGCTAAGGAACCTACGGAAGCATCGTTTTGGTTACTTTATGTGCTTAAACAACCTTGCTGTCGTTTTACTTAACGCTGACAAGCTTACAGAAGCAAAAACTATATTGAACGATGCTTTAGAGATTGCCAGTGATCTCTTTGGGAAAAACGCTGTTCATCCCTATTTTGCTCGCTGTTTGACCAACTTTGGTGAAGTTCATTATTATCTCCGGAATATTGAAGAAGCAGACCGCTTTTTGCAGTTGGCGCTGATAATTTATTCTCATGTCCACGAGCACGAGTTGATCGAGCCGGGTATTATCGACGCACTAGTTATTAAAGCACAAATATACCGGTTTTATGAGCAGTGGGACGAAATGTTCAATTCTTTGAAGAAAGCGAACAAAATTGCTAAGATTGTGTACAAAGGCAACCCACACTCAACTGCCGCGTCTATACTTTTTTATCTTGGCATGTGTGAACAAGAACGTGGAAAGTTCACGGAAGCCTTAAGCCATTACCATGACTATTTGAAAATTCACGAAAATGTAAGAATGGAATGTCAACAAAATGGCCACAATTGCAACAAAGCCAATGTTCTTATACGTATTGCAAACGTGGGAGCACATTGTTCTTGTGATGTTTCGTATCGTCTGTCATGCATCGAAAAAGCGCTCGAGATAGAAGAAAAACGTCACGGCAAGGAATCTAATCACCACCATTTGGCCAGATGTTTTGAAACTCTCTGGTATTTCTTGATAACGGAAAACCGTGAATCAAAAGGGTTAGAATATCTCGACAAAGCCATGCAGGTGCTCGAAGAGATTAACTTGGATGACGATAAATTCTATGGCAATGCACACCTAACAGTTGGAGAACTTTTAGGAGAACAGTCCCCCAATAAAGCTGAAAAGCACTTGAGAACTGCAGATGCTGTTTTAAAGAAGACCTTGAAAGATAGTAGTCATGTCGCGCTACTTCGGATCAATTCTTCGCTGCTAAAGATTTTCCTACAGACAAGCAGAATCGACGACGGTATCGAACTTGCCAAACAACAGCGACGCCTGATCGACACAATGTTGTCTAAATCCAGTGTTCCTAACGCTGGACAGCTCTGCCAAGTGTACCATCTTGCCACGTTTTATGAAGCCAGTGGACAACGAAACACCGCAAAGAAGATGTATGTTGACCTAATCGCGCGTCTGGAGGAACAGGTCGATCCGACTGATTCAAAGAAAGATTATTTAATGCTCCTGCTGTGGAATGTCCAACAGCGAGTAGTAGGAATTTTCCGAACTGATGAAATGTTCTGTGATGCAGAAGCCATGTTACAGCGCATTGCCTCGTCAGTTAAAAAGACAACTTCACAGCGACAATTTGCGGTGAAAGCTCGTCATGGCATTCTATGGAATCTTGCAGCAATTTTTACGGAAACAGGAAGATACTCACAAGCATATGAACTGCTTGACAGTCTTATCAACAGTTACGAGAAAGACCCCAAATCTATTGATGCCTATACTGCTTCTTGTGCTTTTCTTGTACGAGGCGAACTCAATCGCCGATGCTTTTATTTCAACCTTGCATTGCAAGACGGAGAAAAAGCTTTAAAAATAGCGCAAACGTTTCGACCAACAGCGATTCGTAATGCTTCATTGACACAAGACAGTGAAATTTATTATGCTAAAATCATGAACACTATTGGATTAATTTATGAGCAAAGCAACAACCTGGAACGTGCCCTCGAATACTATCTTTGCTGCATAAATACTGTCGCAGGAATGCCACCGACCGCGCATGCAGGAACCTTTCACCAAAATCTGGCGGACACACTGAAAAAGTTAGAACGACTGGACGACGCCATGGTGCATTACAAGAAATCTTTGGAAATCAGGGAAATGCTGCATTCAGAAGATCCAGTAAGAGAAGATATTGCCACCGTGCTTTACCATATTGCTCTCGTCCAGTATACTGACGAAAGGCGCAAGGACGCTTCCGAAACTTTGGATAAGCTCATACCCTTAAGAAGAGAACTTCTTAAAAAAGGTGGTTCTTTGCAGAATTATTGTGCAGTGTTAGTTCTAAAAGGTAATTGCCATATATTGGAAACAGGGGAAGCTCAACAAGCAAAAGACGCCTACGAAGAGGCTGAGAAAGCTTTGAAAATAATGACGGAAGGGCAGCCAAACTTGGATTATGCTTGCGCATTAAGCAATTTGGGTGAGTGTAGAAATATACATGAGTTTTATATATTTCTTATACTCCTTTGAATAAATGTACTGATATTAAAGTCAAGAATTTCAGGTAATCATTTAAATAATTTAATAACGCAATGTATCTGTTCAGGCAAAAACCTGCTTAATCAACAACAGCGTCGATTATTTTAAGGAAATTTATGACCGCACAGAGAATAAAAAGGGATAACATTTTGTGCAATCATTATAAATAGGGATAAAATACTGAGTAACATTGCGAGATTAATAAAATTAATCAGTAATACAGCGCCTTTGGAAATTAGATGCTGTTCAAATTTGGGAATATTTTCCATGGCCAGATGTTAGTTAGCAAATTTAGGATATGGTGAGTTCAGTCTGCAAACTTCCAATAAGACAAAATGTTTTAACCATTAAATTCCCTTGTTAATGTGAGTTGAATTATTTACGAAGACTTGATAATTAACCTACATCTTTTTCATGTTTTAATAAATTTGAATCCTAAATGAGAATAATTTCGATACTTACCTTCAGACCGTTCCAGAATGTATTCGTCACTTAGCCTAGGTAGTAGAGCCTCGTTTTTGTAATTGGGACCCTTGGGTTTAACTAATGTAACATTAAGTACACGAAAATGAAGTTTTTTGCCAAGCTATATTGCTTGTGGTGGTGTCTTTTAATATAACAGCTAAAAGCCTGAATCTGTATTTACAGTATGAAAAATAAATCTATATAATTAATCTTTATTATAATTAATAAATAATCCATATTATTTTATATTCAGCAAGGAAAGCGTGCGGTTGATGAATTAAACTGAATTAGTGATTGTATCTAAATATGTCCATCCTAGCAAGGGAGTACAGTTTCTAGATGGAACCCTGCCATATAGTATATTTGTGTGAAATCTTGGATAATTAATAGAAAAAGACTTACACCCATGCAACAACACATTTTAAACTGAAGCCAATATAACTTTATCAGAAACCTTTCATTACTTTTACTAATTGCAGACTGCAAGCAGGCTATCGGTTAAAATCTACTGTAGCTAGCAGCAAATGTGACGATGCAAGGATTATTTTAAGATGCAGTCATATCCAATTTAGGCAGTAATAATTCAGTGGGACTTGTGCAGCGATAAATGAGATTTTGGCAGTAATAAATTTCTCTATAATACTGTACTATTATACTGTGCAATTTGTAGCGCGAACCAAGTCAGTTTCTTGCCTAAAGTATGTGGTCATGTTTTTGCATGTTCACGTATCAGATATATTTAGTAATTTGGGTCGACCTTCATGGCACCACACCTGATATGGTTAGGTGGTGCACTAAAAATAATTTAATTATACCTTTCTTTATTCTTTCTGTGTAGGATATGCTTGTTTTATCTTAAATCAGTGGGAACAAGCAATCCCAAAACTGCAACAAGCACTTGAAATGAAGAGAGTTATTTATGAAGAAAAAGCTAAGCCAGAGGCAGAGGTGGCCTTAGCCTGCCACTTGCTTGCTAGTGCGCTCTTTAAACATCAAGAATATGAGAAAGCACTGCATTACTTCCAAGAAGCGTTGGAATATTTTGAAGTTAACCAGTCAGCAGATGATGAAACGGAATGTGTTCTTCACATTGCTCTATGTTACGAAGGTTTGAAGAATCATGTTAGTGCACTGGAAACCTTCAGAAAAGTCAAAGAGTTGTGTGTCAGAAAATCAGTTAGCGACAACATACGGCTGGATATTCACAAAACATTGGCAGACACTTTCACTGAGGAAGAATACAGAGATAGATCTGAGGTATTGTATCACCTTAAAGAAGCCGAAGGCATCTTTAAGCGAATAAAGCGATCAGAAACGCAGGAAAAGGCACTAATTGAAGTGCAAGCAAAGATCTCGAGCCTGGAAATTTAATGAACCACTATATACGTTCCCAAGCATAGATTTTATTATGGCAATGAAATCAACTAGGCAATTATGTAAAAATAGTCAAGACGCGGACACAACTGTCAAGAGCCGTTTTAGATTTTGTATTACTAGAAAACATAATCGTGATAATATTAATTTCAAGTTATTAGCTCTATGACCAGTGGATTTGAAAGTTACAGATTTGGACGCAACTGTTGAGATACTAGCAAAAATTGTAAATTTGCTCGTAAACAATCCGGCCCTAAATACGGCTTTGTAATTTACCATGATGACACAAGCTGATCAGCAACAAGATTTTACAGAGAAGTCATGATAAGGATTAACCATCAACTGGCCAGTCGGCCGATGAAAAATAAATTCGGAAATCCTTGCATGCCGAGCTAACATCCTTGGAAGTACAAAGGAGCTATACATATCAAAAACTGGATACTAATAGCTGTTTTGCGAAATTGAGAGAAATTTCAATTCTGTTCAGTTTTTTTTTATATATGGGAAATGCGAACTTTCGGCCCAAACGTGGTGCATTTTCTCGCGCGAATACAAATTAAGTAAAATTTGCAAATCTCGCAGGGCTATACTTTCCGCATTCTATGCAAGAACATTTTCAACCTCCGTCGCAGGGACCTGGGTACGAGGATGCAACATTTTGCGGCCAAACTTTGCAATTTTACTAATCTTAGGATGGTCGTTCTAGCTGATGTGGTGATCTTGCTCAGTTGCATGCTCTTCTTGCCTAAATCAAAATTTTGTCTATAGCGAGATCATCTGCAGTATTTACCGGCCCAATAGTTAATGACCGCTATCTAATGACCTAGTTTGACAATCCAGTCCAGTCCACATTTTACAACATGATTGGCATTCACAAAGACTACATTGATAGATTTGAGGGGCGGACCATTTGATTTTTGAGGGGGGGGGGAGGGTGCTGGAAGATTTCGAAAAAAAATTCCTGCAATCGAAGGAGAAAGAAAAAAAAATCATGCAGCAAACAATCGAGAAAAAAAAATATCATACAAAAGAGAGCGCTCAAAAAAAATCCTACATGTAAAACTACTGACTTTCTTCACTTCAGTATATTGTATCCACAGGCTTGCAAGATTTTGCATTTTTGAGCAGGCACATTTGCTTAAAAGAACACGGGTGAACAGTGGAGTAGTGTGTCAACTTATGTGCTCTAATAATCTGTCATATTAGTTAAACTATAATATCATTTGTATATCCAACTGAACTAATGAGATAAAACAATTATGAATTGCATAACTGGATAAAACCACTTGAACTGCATTCCATGGATCCAAATCAGTCAATTCATTGATGTAATAGTTAAACCTTATATAGCAAGGAATTCGACTCAATTTTATGTAATCTTTTATATATATGTACATGTTCTCGTTATAAAGAATAAGATTGATACAAAACTCTGATGTTGTTAGTTGTACTTAATCCGGGAGGAGAAAGATATGGCCTCCTCAAACTCAACAGGTTATGGGCCCAGGAGAGGTCTAGTCTTCGATGGAAACGAAGCGAAGTACGAACTATGGGAAGTGAAGTTTTTATCGTTTATGAGGATTCAAAAACTTTACAAAATTTTTGTGCCTAGCAGCGATGAGGATGAGCTAGGTGAGGCGAAGAATGCAGATGCCTTCGCCGAACTGGTACAGTGTTTAGATGACCGAAGCTTGTCTCTAATAATAAGGGAGGCAAAGGATGATGGTCGAAAAGCTTTAACGGTACTGAAAGAACACTATCAGGGAAAAGGAAAACCCAGAATTATAGCGTTATACACAGAACTGACGTCACTGAGAAAGGGCGAAAACGAATCCACAACGGACTATATCATACGAGCGGAAACTGCCGCGACAGCACTGAAACCAGCGAAAGAAATAATAAGCGACGGTCTACTTATTGCAATGGTTCTGAAAGGTCTCCCGAGGAACTATAAAACCTTTTCTACCGTAGTAATTCAGCGTGAAAAGCAGATGACATTCAGCGATTTTAAAACAGCGCTACGAAACTACGAAGAGAGCGAGAAGAGCTGCAATAGTACAGATATTAAAGACAACGTGATGTACGCCGCTAAACCAAAGTTCGATGGAAAATGTTTCAAATGCGAAAAGAAAGGTCACAAAAGTTCCGAATGTTGGATGAAGAGCGAGAAATGGTGTACCAAATGTAGAAACAAGACCCACAACACAAGGGATTGCAGAGCCGCAAAGAAGGACGCAGCAAAGTCTATCACTGAACAACCGAAGAATCAAGACTTGGATGAACAGTCATTCGTATTTACTTTAAAAGATAGTCAGGGTAGGAGTACGAAGGATTCAAAACTTCTCGTGGACACTGGGGCAACCAGCCACAATATCTACTCAATATATTCCCTTTGTAATAGAACCGCCTAAATGTGGTAGGCCCACACCGGGTGCGGCGTTTGAGGTGATCGGTGTCGATTTTGCTAGGCCAATGAAGTTCCGGAAATCCTCCAAAGAAAGAAAGTCTTACCTCGTGATATTTGCTTTTAGTTTGTCGAGAACTGTCCACTTAGAACAGTTGCGGAAACTTGAAGCCAGTTCATACCAATAACGGCGGCGCGTTCATCAAATGGCTGGAACAATTACGGAAAGATGATAGTTTACGAGGATTCGCGGAATTATTATTATTATTATTTAATTATTTTTATTATTATTCTTATTTGGAAACGGTAACCCTTCAGATCTAATAACATCTGATTTCCAAGGGGCCGTTTACAGTAATACAACAATAGTATAAATAACTAACCTAACACAATACAGGAGCTATTTACAAACAAATGATATACACCATAACGGAGCTGAGCCTATCTAACAAGAATCTTGAAAACGAGAAATCAAGTCTAATAACATCTGATTTCCAAGGGGCCGTTTACAGTAATACAACAATAGTATAAATAACTAACCTAACACAATACAGGAGCTATTTACAAACAAATGACATACACCATAACGGAGCTGAGCCTATCTAACAAGAATCTTGAAAACGAGAAATCAAGTTTACTAACAGCTTTACAGCTCATACAAAATGACTATAATCAGTCTAGCATAAAGTCAAATACCACAGAAAAGCCGTGGAATATTGTGAATAATCACAAGCCAAATCAGATTCAATTCAAATCATCACATAACCCCACCACTTATATGCCTGTCGTTAAGCCGCCTATTAACCGAAATGTTATAAACTGTAGTTCTGTTAACAGATATGAAATCCTTAGCGACAGCGATCTAGCAGCATCTGCCGAGAATGAAGAGTCGATCCTAACCCATGACGAACCTACCACGCGACAGGAAAAAGTCAACACAAATAAAAGCGCTACTAAAAAGCCAATAGCATCAAAGAAAACAAGGACTATTGCCTCGCCCAGCAATGTCACAGATAATTCCGCAAGTGCAAAGCAAAGTCAAGCGTCATCTGAACCAAGTGCTACCCCGGTTCGCAGTACGAAAGCTAAGCGTAATACCGTAATCGTCGGTGATTCGATTATCAAGTACGGTTAAGTCATTCTCGGGGGCGACGGTTGATGACATGAAGGACTTTATCAAGCCAATACTGCGAAAAAGCCCAGAGAAACTAATACTGCATATAGGAACTAATGACCCACGTAGCACGGACTTAAAAGTTGTTGCTGATAAAGTATCCAATTTGGTACAGACGATCTATCAGCAGTGTGAATCCTGATATCAAGGTCATTGTTTCTGGAATTCTTACTAGAAAAGATGTCAATGGCATTGCAGACAGGGTAAGACAAACAAATTCCTTGATTAGATTCTCATGTTGTGAAAATGGTTGGGCATTTATAGAGAACTCCAATATAAAGGACTCTCACCTGAATTCCAGAGGACTACACTTAAATCCCTCTGGTAGTTTGCTATTACAAAACAATTTTAAATTATTACTTAGAAATTGACTATGTGAAAATGTGAGTGCTAATTCTCAAAATTCTGCATCCAACCCATTTCCTAATTGTGCAAATTCTAGGGGGTTTCTGATCAACCAACTAAAACCTTGAAAGCTATATTAGAAACATACCAGTTATCTCAACTTATTACTGAGGCAACACGAATAACAAATATTTCTTGTACACTTATAGATCACTATATAACATCTATGCCAGAGAAAATTAATTCGACTGGCGTAATTCATACGGGAATTAGTGATCACAGCTTAATTTATGGTATAAGAAAAATCAATCCCATTGTGTCTACACGCAATATGACCAGGAATGTTGAGGTCAGAAACATGAAAAGGTTTAACCATAACTCTTTTAGAGAGTATCTTCTAGCTCAGCCATGGGAGCAAATTGTTCTGGAATCAAATACTGATTCCATGTGGGCCCTTTGGAAAAAGTTATTTTTGGAAGTCTTGGATAAGCATGCCCCTGTTCAGCGTATTAGAAAAAGAAAATCTGGCGTTCCGTGGCTGACTGGGGAAATTAAAAAAATGATCTTTGAAAGAGATAAATTAAAGCGTGAGGCAATGGTGACTGGTACCCATGCTGCTTGGGATAAGTACAAATCAACTAGGAATAAGGTCAATATTGCCCTACGACAAGCTAAAACAGATTATTTTCGCATTAAAATATCAAATCAAAATAATAATCCAAAAGAGGCTTGGAAGACAATCAATAACTTACTCGGTCGTTCTCCAGGTAATACTGTTGTTAATGAATTAAAATTTAATGATGCAAAAATTACCTCACCTGAAGAAATTGCCAATGCTTTTAATACATATTTTACTGACATTGGCCCTAACTTAGCTAGTTCTATTGATGATACTGACATTACGTTTGATCGTTTCATCAAACCAGCTACATCAAAAATGACACGCTTTAAGTTAGTTTCACATACTAAAGTAGTCAAGCTTCTAAATGGTTTATCCAATTCGAAAGCAACTGGTCTTGATAAAATATCTGGAAAGATTTAAAAAACTGCAGCCCCTACTATTACCTTATCACTCACACACATCTTTAATCATGCTATCATAACAAGCTGTTTTCCATATGAATGGAAAGCTGCTAGACTTCTACCACTTCATAAAAAGAGTCCACGAGATCTCCCAGAAAACTATAGGCCAATCTCAATCTTACCTGCAATAAGTAAAGTTATGGAAAGAATTATGTATGATAAGATCTATGAATACCTTAACGACAATTCGATCCTTTCTGAATACCAATTTGGTTTCCGCAAATCTCATTCAACTGCTTCGGCTCTTTTGGATTGCACGAACAGTTGGTACGTTAATATGGACCGCAAAATGTTTAATTTGGTTGTGTTATTGGATTTAAAAAAGGCCTTTGATACTGTAAACCATGATATTTTGGAGCTATACGGAATCAATAGTAGTGCCTTAACCATGATACAATCATACTTGTCTGATCGCAAACAGAAATGCCAACTGGGAGACGTAATGTCATTTGAGCGACATGTGACATGCGGTATTCCACAGGGATCTATCCTTGGTCCACTTCTCTTCCTCTTATATATTAATGATTATCCAGAATGTCTTCATGAAGCTGTCCCTCGGCTATTTGCCGATGACACCAATCTTACGGTAGCTGGTGAGTCAATGGAGGAAGTTGAGTTGGCCATGAATAATGATCTCCTTAGTGTACATACCTGGCTTTTAGCCAACAAACTGAGTCTCAATGCTTCAAAAACCGAATTAATACTTATTGGTTCAAATCATAGATTAACGAACCTTACTAATCAACCAAATATAAAAATAGATCAAGACAAAATTAAGCAAGTTCATCATAGTAGATTAATTGGGGTTAAAATTGATGAAAAATTGTCTTGGAACAAGCATGTTGAAAGCGTGGCCAAGAAGGTTACTTCCGGTGTAGGAGCTTTAAGAAGAATACGTGACTTTGTCGATAGGGAAACCTTGATCTCTATCTACAATGCTTTAGTTCGCCCTCATTTCGATTATTGCAGTGAGGTATGGGATACCTTGGGCATTGGCCTTTCAACTCGACTTCAAAAACTGCAGAATAGAGCGGCGAGAATAGTAATGGGTATGACAAATGATACCCCTGGATTAGAAGCAATTACTGCATTAGAGTGGGAAACTCTTGAGTCTCAACGAGCTAAGTCTAAAGCAGTACAAATGTACAAAGTTTTAAATGATTTGGCGCTAAATGCACTTGTTAATCTTTTATGCGTAAAAGTGATGTCACAGATTACGAGCTTAGGGGTTCCTCTACATCACTGCAAATGCCTTTTCCCAGGACTGAAAATATTAAGAAAAGTTTTTCTTACGATGGGGAGAAATTGTGGAATCCCTTACCTGAAAATTTGCGTGATTCGGCTACCTTGCCAATATTTAAAAGTCGAATTAGTGCTCACAATTTCTCATAATATAATGTAAATATAATTATTATGGTATAATATTAGGTTGACTATTGTAAATATGTTCATTTTTAATGTTTGCTACTATTATTACCTCCGCCAGGAGGTTATGTAATTACCTCCGCCAGGAGGTTATGTAATCATCTGGGTTTGTATGTTTACCTCCGCCAGGAGGTTATGTAATCATCTGGGTTATTACCTCCGCCAGGAGGTTATGTAATCATCTGGGTTTGTATGTATGTATGTGTGTGTGTGTGTGTGTGTGTGTATGCGCGTGCGTGTGTGTGTGTGTGTGTGTGTGTGTGTGTGTGTATGTGTGTGTGTGTTTGTCTGTGAGCACGATAACTCAAGAAATACCAAACATATTCATACGAAATTTTTTGAATGCATTTCCCATCGGCTAAGGAAGAACTGATTAAAATTTGGTTGAATTTGGTTAAAAATTGAATGAGAAATAACAAAAGTTTGTCTTGCTTTTCCCGGTCAATTAAATAAAACTTTACACTGAATGTGTAATTAGGACGTGCATAGTATATGCACCAGCCATTCAAATTCTAATAACAATAGATTACTTCAATAGTTTGCGCGTAGGCGGAGGTATGCAGTCTCTGAGTGCCCTCTAGTTTATAATGTAATTGACACGCCCCTCGTGGAAATCAGCGAAAGTTGACGAGGCTAGCGTGTGATTTTTAAATAAAGTTTATCATCATCATCATCATCATCAAACAAGTATGCCGGACAAGTATATCGCTGTCAAAACAACAGACAGCACTTAATAAACAGGCTTACTTTACTAAAAGTATATATTAAATTTACTCGACGACGTACATGCTTGCAAAGAAAGCACTGTTTTATAAATAGTTAGTAAACATGATTAAAAACGATTAATTTTTTGTGGCAAGCCATATATGGCTAGCCACTATGTTACGATAAAAAAGTTGTCAGTTTGTCCAGTCACGTGACATTTAGCCTGCGTAACAGGCGTTTAGTGCGGGCGGGTGAAGAAAGGGAATAGTGTGACTTTCGAGGCATGTGTTGGTTGGTTTACTTGATTGAGTTGTTTATATATATCTTAAAGTTTGTTCGTTCATTTGGGCAATTTGTGAGAAGCTGTGCCTGTGTAAAGCAAAATTGACTTGATATTCCGCTTCAAATTTGTCACAGGTAAGCAAACTTTGGTTGATTTCAGCCAAATATTGTATTTTTTATGCTTCAAAATATTGGGCCATTGTTGCTTACACTGATCTTTAAATAGATCAGGTTGTATTTGCGTAAAAAGCAAGGTGAAAGGCCACGTGTCAAATGTGGCAAGCTTTTGGAATAAAAATTCGAATTGCATTATGAACATAGAAATAAAATAAAAACTGCGACAGATAAATATTGATATTTATAATTACCAATATCAAATACTTGATTTATAAAAGAATCAAAGAATGTTCAAGTATATCAAGTGTATTAATACGAAGTTGATTGTTTATGATCCGATCCATCTGAATAAAGCTCCAGAAAAGGACTCATTGTATTCTGAATGAATAGTATTTGGTACCTCTGCGAGCAATTTAATACAATAAATCTTTTTGAACATGCTGACCAATGACATTATTAAGATTGCTTCCATTAATTAGAATTCTATTTATAATGATGTATTCAAACATCTTTTTTTGGTTGGTTTAATAAGATTTTTTAAAATATCAAATATTAAATATTTTTTAAGCAAAACATCAACCTACCTGCAAGATTGTTTGACAGTTGTACTGTAATTTGTGTTTGTAATACTATACACGCACAATGACTAGGTAAGATTGTTAATCTCCAGCACAATGGTAATATTTCTGGTACTGCGCGATGGCAAGGTTCAACTTTCATATGTGGCCATTCACACAAATACAACCCAATCTAAGATCAGTGCGAGCAACAATGGCCCCTTTTCAAGCGTATAAAATAATATTTGGCTGAAATCGGGTAAAGTTTACTAATACCTAAACAACGGAAGAAAATAATATTTGGCTGAAATGAATTAAAGTTCGCATACCTCTGACAAATTTAAGATTCTATGCTATAATGTTATGTATCATTATGATTAAGACTCTCAAATGATGTTGGGGAAAATCCAGGTCCATCAATTTTAATGAAATAGTTGATCCTACTTTTACAGTTTGTGCAGACTTTAACCCATTAAGTGCCAGCGCTCTCCCCTTGACAGGTGAAATCATCTAGCGTTAGACACGGTAAAATAATTTAGCGTTAGACAGAGTAAAATAATAGAGTAGGGTGCATCAGGGCACAATACGACTCAATGGGATAATCACGGAAATGCGTCGATGTTTGGAAGTAACACTGCATGGTAAACAATGTGTTGCAGTGTCGATCCATGCGATTGTATACAATGAAATAAAGTCTATAATCAACACGGAGACAACTATGAATATAATTCTAATTAATGGAAGAATCTTTATATTGTCAATTAATAGTCGGCATGTTCGAAGAAAATTCTTGTTGCTCACACAGGTACCAGAGATTATACTTTTCATTTAGAGTACGTTCAGTGAGTCCTTTTCTGGGGCTTTGTTAATGGATCATAACAATCAACCTCAATGTTACACTTGAACATTATTTTAATCAAGTATTTGATATTGGTAATTATAAATATCAATATTTATCTGTCTCAGTTTTTATATTATTTTTATGTTCATAATGCGAATTCTAATTTTTATTCCAAATGCTTGCCACATGTACGCAGTGCGTACCTATTTTTTAAACATGATTAAAAACGTCGCGAGGAAATATTTTTTTGCAAAGACAAAGTAAAATTAAAATATCTTACCGTGGTAAACAATCAAAACGTATATGCTGTATCATTATAAGTAATAGCATAGAAAAAGGCGAATTAGCTATTAAAACGTCCCGCCCGATGAGGGTCGTTTAGTACTAATTCCCTTGGGCGCCGCTTTCAATTTTACTAAATGACCCGAATCGAGCGGCTCCCAAGGGAATTTTACTAAACGATCCTCATCGGGCGGGACGTTTTCAATAGCTAATTCGCCTCTTTCTATGCTATTACCTTGTAATATCATGATTGCGGGTATTCCCGTTGCTCTCGCAGGGCCATTAAAAACCAATTAACAATAAATAATGGTATAAATTAAATGGTATAATTGTTTTCCATGTCTTTGTTTAGTTTTGGCGATTTCAGATATATTCATTTTTTGTAATCGTACCCGCTTTGACGTCGTTTCGGGTAGGATTACAACTAATTCTATCTGACATGACGTAAAAGCGGGTAGGATTAGAAAAAATGAATATAATGAGGTGTATTAGTTATTAATTGCCCTGCGAGAACAAAGGGAATACCCGCAATCATGATATTATTATATATCAATAGTCAAAGTCGCATTTTTCTAGTGTTTTATTGGTTGAGAGCATATCACGTGAGAGTGACGAAATTAGGATGTCTCCCTCGCAACAGCGCGAGACGGAGATATTAGAGACCTTAAGATTGACGTTTACGGCAAACGTCAAACCGCTAGCGAAGTTTTTGATTTTACAACTCTATTATTATACTTTTACACCAGTTTTGAAATATGTTAAACTTATTCAACTTGTGCTCTTTAGCAATGATTTAACCACAAATCATGCCATTCACCAAAGCAGTAAATTAAGATTTGGCGTTTGAAGTTGACGTTTGACGTATAAATTCCATGCTTTAACGACTAGAAGCCCTCGTAGCAGTTCAAGCATGAAATTTATACGCCAAACCGCCCAAACGCCAACTTCAAACGCCAAATCTTAATTTACTGCTTTGGTGAATGGCACGACTAGTGGTTAATTTGCTTTCTTAAATCATTGCTAAAGAGCACAAGTTTAATAAGTTTAACATATTTCAAAACTGGTGTAAAAGCTATAATAATAGAGTTGTAAAATCAAAAACTTCGCTAGCGGTTTGACGTTTGCCGTAAACGTCAATCTTAAGGTCTCTAAAGGCCTGATTCTACTACGTCATCAGTCTACGTCATGAGAGAGCGCGCGCGAGCTATCTAGGCAATTAGTGCTTGCGTCTTTCTGGGCATAAACAACGTGAAGAAATTTATGCGAGTAAATCGTAAAGAATCGTTCATCATCATCGGTTTGTTGAACATAATTTTTGCACAAGGCAAACAGGGAGTATATTGTTTTGTTATTTTGCTATTTTGTTGTTTTGTTTCTTATTCTCGTTTAGGGAAAAACGAATCAAATGGGCAATAAATATATAAATGATGACATGCAATGGCGGGCAGCCACAAACAAAATTCACGCTTGTGCTCCAGAGTTGAGCGGCAAATACAAGCAACCCAGTACACCCACAATGGGGAAAAGCTACCTATGGTCTATACAGACCGCTCCTAAGATGAGCAAGTGAAACTAAAGCCTTATTAAGGCATATGAGGCCAACGGCCATATAAAGCCCAACGGGCAAAATATCTGACGAGGCCAACAACGGCCATCCAAAGCCAATTAAACGGGCAATGAAGCAAGAAGGCAATGGCTGTGGAAAGGCCTATAAAACCAAGAAACAGGATGCCAACTACCCTGTCCAAAGCCTAACGAGTAAAGGCAAAAGGTACACATGGTCAACGACCACATTGTTGCTTCAGCAACTTGGGAAAGTACCGAGAGACGCCATTGTTGTGCTGCATGGGCGCCACGTCAAGGTCATGCCTCATGGCATGTATGTCCACAATTATAGCAGACAATATTGTGCTTATTGGACCGAAAAGCTAATGCTTTTTCACACAGCTAGGAAGCTAGTCCATTATTTTATTGCACACAACTGTAACGCAGAAACTGATTGGATTTTTCCAATGTCAACGACATAAAAATGTCATTTGTGAATTGTGGCGTGTGCCGTGTGGATATAGTCCATTGCATGTATATACACATACATTACCTAATGAAATCTACAATAATATTATAATGTCGTTTATTGCTGCAAAGCGTTCAGATTGAACGACATTTTATTTGCACTTTTATAATACTTTATATACTCGAGTTTATCCTGGGCGAACATTTTACTTTGTTTACTTGGCGGGAAATTGCCAGTGCTTTGCCAGTAATTTATTCACGTGCTACGCACGAGAGTTAAACATGGAAGTACATCAGTACATGTTACGAGAACCACGCTGAAGAAATAAACAACTGTGAAACTTTTTAAAGTTTTATCTTGTGTGATACAATAAATATAATAGCATAGCTAAATGCCAGCAAAACCGTTGAAACTAGACCTGAATGCAGACCAGTTTTAACTTGATTGGTCACTTCCTGTGATACAACAACAGCAGGGGTGATGGCTATCACATGACATGTAGCACTACAACCTACAATGAATATTTGCTCATTTGAATGTGAACACAATAGTACAATGTTCATTCCAATTGTTCTTCCACGGCAAGACTAAAGCTAGTCAGCCTAGTTTACTGATAATATCAGTAATTTTGGTATTGGCTGGTATATCAACTCAACTCACTCCTGGCATAAATGCTGTCACTGTACAGCTTGGTACAGTTTGTGGGAATAGTATACATCATGCATGCTGTAGCAATTATAGCCCCTTTTTACTATCTCAGTATAGTAACCTGATTAGTCACTAGACTGAAGTAGGTTATTATCTTTTTCCCAAGTGGGAATACTGGTAGTGAAAATCTGAAATGCTAATCGATGCCAGTGGGGCAGTGGCTATGTTTTGAACCATGAAACAAACAACTTGACCAGGCCAATGAGAAATTTACTGAATTGTACAGTTTGTACCTGCTTATTTAATTATAACCATGCATTAGCATTACTGGGATCAGATTTCAATTCCTGATTAGAATTGAAGGTGTGGTTAATGTCTGCAAATCTGCATCGAGGCTAATCTTGTTCCCTGAGAACAAAATTGGACATCATTATCTTAACCTCTTGGGGGCTTTTTGTATAGCCAAAGCAATTTGTATTAAAGTATAAAGATTAGTAATTTGCTATGCCTTGAATTTAAGAACAGCAGTGTAGAATATTCACTGGTCATTATGTATGGAAATATACCCAATCTCCGCTTCAAGCCAAACAAATCAGGCCAGACTGGAACAGTAGAGCGGTCTGGTACTCAATGACAATGTTTCATATAACAATAACAACACACCATTGACATTGGGAAGTTGCACTATCCTATTTTGTAAATCATTATCTGTTTAACATGGCATAGCCATAGGCTAAACACCTTGTACATATGTCATATATAATAGACATAGTCCATCTGCTGCAATCACTGTTGTTCTGGACTGCAGGACAAACATTGCATTTATAGAATGACATTCATTCCTTCACAGGACAATACAAAGACCAATTACCAAATAGCAATGCCTGTGATGCGATACTATTCAGTCTTGGTAAACTCGACTATACCGTCGGTATACGTGCTAATGAGTAATGGTCATGTGGTTACCATGTAAATGTATGCATGTAGAAAGGGCGCAGCGAGAAACTTTGCGGACCAATATACCATGCACCCTGACTCAGGAAAACATGCAACTGACCGAAATTTATTTTCGAATGTTGCTTTGATTCTCGCGTTAATATGCAATTGAAGCCAATAACAATGTCCCCTGATTGTTTCAACAGGATATCTCTACAATAATGTTAGTGTTGTTACTGTTGTAACGGCCCAAGATCTTTTCCCTTTACCTATTGTAAGTTTCGGATGTAAACGTTTCTATGATACCTCACACAGTCACAGAACAACATTGATCAACCAGTCCTTTTTGGCGAATTTCTTGTGCACATACAATGTATTTAACACATATTTCGTGCCACAGAAATATTAAGGAGTATACTCTCCAAATACAAATAGTTGTGGTTATGACTATATGCTCACCGCCTTCACTTCGAAGCCTTATGGCCTTTAACGGTATGACTGTATGTCCGAATGCCATCGGCAGCGAGCGGCATACTACACTTAATTATTACACAGACTTCAGTACACAAATTGGCCATGGGACCATAATATTGAGAGGGGTGATAATATACAATATATGACATATGTATTTGAAATTGCTAGACTTATAGAACATTGATGTTATATGAATCATGCACTCAGAATCATAATGTACTAATCAGTACATATTTGGGCACATTTGTCTTCCTTTTCATTGTACAGAATTATTTCTGTCTATCATCAGCTTCTGATTTATAATAACGACGGAGCTATGGAACAAATGCATATTTTTGCTTTACTATATATACATTAATTTGTGTCATATAGAACCCTTAATCCTTATATCAGTTTCATGATGCTTGTGATGTTACTGTGAGACATTGGGCAGGCTTGAAAAATATGCCTGGCCACGGTGGGAATCGAACCTACGACCTTTGGAATACTAGCCCAATGCTCTGCCAATTGAGCTACGCGGTCAGGTTGGTTCGAGTATGGAACTGAGTCTAGTTCCTTCGATATCAATGTAATCTAATAATCATGATATTTGCTGTGTTGGTTACGTGATATTAGTCAACGCTGAGGTTTCAATGGTCAGTTCAGCGTTTATTGCATAACGGTCTGATGATACTGTAATGACCTTATATATAATTTGCAAAGATGTCGTGTGACATCAGAAAAAATATTCATTTCAAAATTAGTGTAAGTTACTGCAACCAGGTTTTCAATTCAGGAAGAGTATAAAAGTTCTTTCGTCCTTGAGTTATAAACTCCTCGATGCCAATGGCGCTTATATTGGAAACGTTTGGCTTTATGACAGCCTAGAGATACACTGCAGGCTGTATGCTTAATACAAAGAAAAATTCCGTCTTATGGTAAAGGAATTGTGAGTCGTATCGGTACCAGGGAACAGCCTGGGTACGGGTTTGCAATCTTATGGCAACAATTGTTCATTGCTTCTTGATGGCAATGCATTTAATTTAAGGGAATTTAAAAAGATTCATGAGGAAATTATCTTTACCTTTATTTATTTGGAGTCTACTACTGTTAGCATTTCTTGTAGACAGAGGAGGTTAGCCCAACCTCACAATCAAATGATTCCCTTTTTTGTATCTGCCCTTGCGCAGATGTGATCATGTCGGCTCGTTTGTTAGTAGATGATATCATGGTTTAGTTACTTCGTAAACCATTGACTGATCTACTCATTGGCGTGTGTGTGAACAGGACTTTGAAATCTCGTGTAATTCCGTAGTGACGTAGACTGATGACTTAGTAGAATTAAAAATTAAACGAGACTTACCTGGTAAGTTGAAGTTTGATTGGAATTCTACAAGTCATCAGTCAGGAACGGAGGAATTACATGACCTGGATCAGGCAAGCTGATTCCCTCCCGTCCCAATTCCTCCGTTCCGTGCTCCTGTTCACACTCACGATTACGTTGAATATTGCCTAGATAGCTCGCGCGCGCTCTCTCATGTAATTCCTCCGTTCCTGACTGATGACTTGTAGAATTCCAATCAAACTTCAACTTACCAGGTAAGTCTCGTTTAATTTTTAATTCCACGGGCGCTTTTTCTCGGCGAAATATTTCGCCTGTAGTCTTTTGAATTGTGGGCAATCAAGTAGAAATAATTTATTCGAGTGGTCGCAATTCAAAAGAAACAGGCGAAATATTTCGCATTTCGCCGAGAAAAAGCGCCCGTGGAATCAGGCCTTAATACGTTATCGACCGGCGAATAACAAAAAAAAATCACGTGCGCCATCACGTGAAGATGCGACCTTTGGACATGCCTAGTACGTAATTAAAACTTTCGCTTTAAGTAACTGCAGTGTAGCCAGTGTTTAATATTTAACAAATATAAAACATTTTCCGTGTTGATATACAGTTATATGATATACAGTTTCCCAATCAACACGAGTGGAAATTGGGAAAACGAGAAATTGGGTGGAAACACGACGCCCGAAGGGCGGAGTGTTTTCACACAATTTCGAGTTTTCCCAACTTCCACGAGTGTTGATATAACGATATATCAATACGGAAAAAATGTTTTATATTTGTTTTATAATATAGCAATGTCAAAAGCCCGAAGAATAAGAAAAATTTCCGTGTTTACAAGAGGCGGAAAATTTCCCGTGTTGACATGGAGTTAATCAACACGGCTCTTAGCCAATGCTATATTTACAAATGCTATATTATAAAACGTTTTAACAATAAAATATTTCGTGTATTTACGTTAATTTGTTTTTTAATTTGTTGTTTCTTTGACTATTGATATATAATAAAACAAATATTTACTGAGACCTCGGGAAAGCAGTGTGTTTTGTGGTCTCGGGTCCACAAAACACACTGTTTCCCTCGGTCTCAGTAAATAAGTGATAATTATACTTTGTGCTTGCTTTAGGTCCGTCTTCGCTTTTTAAGTTAGCAAAGCGTTGCCTTTTTTGTGAGGTTAATTTCTTCGGCGTTTTTCGACGTTTTCCAACTTTTTTTCAATATTAATATTGTTTGTATTTTGTCATTCAAACTCCCACATGAAAATTCCCCGTGTTCCTATCGAGTTATAGAAACACGTTTTTTTTTGTTTTTTTTTTCGCTTTTGACCAACCAGCGCCCGTGTTTTAAAAGGCTATTTTATAAATATATATAATCTGGTTATATAATTTTACGTGACTTATTAATTGGGATAGGTTGAAGCCAATCCATTCCAGGGTGACATAACATCAATTGTACAGTGAACTTTCTTATTGAATGTCACAATGCACAATTTTAGCATCAGTTAAATTAAGGAAAAACATCAACCGGCTAAACTGGTGTAATCTTGTTGCCGCTTTGTATAGCATTTTGCTGGAAAATTCGTTTGACTGTTAATCAGCCGTCGTTTGACATTATGCGAAAACGGTTGGCCAAAAATTGTTATTTATGACATTGAACTGTCGTATATACAATGTTCTCATTTTGAAAATAAGCGGCATCTTAAAATAGTCATTTAATTTTTGCAGTAATAATGCAACGAAGTGTAAAAATAGAATGACCTTCAATATTTTTTGCAAGCGTCTCCATGCACCATAGTTGTGTGCTTGTAATGTTTCATTCACATTGTCAGTTCACCCTTGATAAGCGTTATGCTTTCGGGGTAAACAAAAACAGTAAATTTAAAAAATAATTAATCATTTTAGATTATTTTCACTGATATGGAAGAAGAAACGAAGGTGTTGTTTGATAAGCCTTTGGATGTTCAAAACAACGAGTACAAATTGTTGCTTATTGCAAATGAGTCCAGCGATGCTGAACTTACTTTATACATTTATCCTGTTTGGGCACAATTTTGCCTGGTTTCAATGGAATCAAAGATTATCAAACCCAACACAAAATACCTTTATCAAAATAAAAGCAAATTTAAGTTGAGGCTGGTCGCCAAATTTCATGATAATCGTGAAATGAGAAAACTTTTAGGACCTCAAAAATGGATTAAAGACATTTTAATTAAGATCGACAAATCACTCAAGTGCATAACAGAAGACTTAGCGAATGAAGAGAAAAGAATATGTCTTCGAAAATTGCACAGAGAGAAAGAGTTAGAAAATACGGGCAACCAACACAACTTGTACGATATTTTAGGGTTAGACATGGAAGAAGTCCGCAAAATGGAAAACGATGACCTGAAAAAATCTATCGAGAAAGGATTCCGTCAACAAATGATAATCTGGCACCCAGACAAGAATTTTGGAGATAATGAGATTGCTAAACAGATTAATGAAGCGAGAAAGATTTTGCTGGATGATGAAAGACGATCCCGTTATCATAATGAGGCTGACTACAATAGAGGGTGGCTGTCTCCTAAACGCTACAAAGCAATTTTCTGGCCAGAATGCTGTTCGGACGAACAAAATCAAGCTTATTGGAGCAGGCTTATGAAGATTGCAGTAACTTTCTCGATCACTATTTTCGGAATTGTCTTATCCATATCCACCGGGTCAGTAGGCTCAATATTAGGGGCAGGATTAACAGCAGGTGGATTGCAATCTCTGGAGCTCGCGTTGAATAAAGACTCTATCGTGAATGAGTGTGGCTGGAAGGCGCTGTTATCCAAGGCTGCAATTGGATTTGTAGGTGGTTCTATTACTGGTGGTGTTGCCGCAGGCATCACAGCAGGGATAGCAAACCTTGGAAGCAGCGCGCTTAAATCAGCTGCCACAATCATGGGCGGTTATGTTGGACTGGGTTCACTAACAGGCGCTCTTGGGGGAATCACATCATCTCTTGCCTCAGACGCCACGAGAAAGTTTGTGGATAACGATGATGTTACTGCAAGGCAAGTCATTTGTCGTACCATATGTGGAGCTGTGATCGGCGCAACCGCAGGAGCATTAGGAGGTCTTGTCACACAAAGTGTTATCAATCATCAAGCGTTGTCCGCAGCGTCCAAGAGTCTTGAGTTAGAAATTGGAAAACAGCTTGCCATACAGGGAGTATCAAAAAGTGTTTCCGATGAGTTAGCTTTAGATGTATCTCGTGAATTTACTGAATCTGCAACCAAAGCGCTTATGGGGAGGGCAACCCAGTTTGTCGAAGAACGGTTAGACGAAAAAATGGAAAACCAACATCCCATGAAGCACGTTGGAAACGGGGTAAAAGATGTCATAACGTGTGGCATTACAACTGTTATCAAAGAAGGGTCCGCCGCTGTGGTATCTAAGGCAAAGACCGAATATAATGTGAAATGGAATGAAGAGGAATACAATCCTATGTCTGTCGGAAGCAACTGCAATGCAAGTGCGGATAAAGAGCAGAATGACTCAATCATCGATGCACAAAGTGGCGAGTCATCAGCTTCATTTGAACCAAACAACAACAATAACAATAAAGCATTTAAGCAAAGTCGTAGGTTGGATACAAGCAATGAAAAAGAAACCGATGAAGAAAAACAATCAAAGACATTTCAACAGTCGGACAACGTTCAGCAACTATATGGAGAAAGTTCAATTGAATTTCAACAATGTGATGGGACTGATAAAATACCACAAGTCCATCCATCCAAAATAATTTCTGAGATAGGTTCTGCGGTCAATGAAAAATTAGAAGACCATGATTCGGACGAAGTAGTTGTCGGCTTTAAACCTGGACAGGATACTGTTACGTTTTATTTTAAAAACAAGAAATTGCAACAAGAAGGAAGCAGTGAGAGCAATAATATATTATCTGTTGACATGGGAAAAGTGGCCGATAAGTTACAGCAGTCATTCCATCCACTAAGTAAAGAGACAAGTGATGAAGCGGAAAATTATGAATTGATCAGTAAAACCTGGGAACAAAGTGAGAATGAAGGAGATGAACCGATAACAATCAAGTATATTTCAGAAATACACGGGGTTACGAAAATGATTGTTACTTATTGCTTAAATGCTGACGAACGCAAAATAAAAGTGAGAGGAAGTGGAAAGAAAGTAACTGTTCCCTCTGAGGCAACAAAAGTTGAAGTCAGATTTAAAGTTAGGCGTTTCATTTGGTGGGATATATTTAAGTACGATCGTTTCGACAAGACCTGGTGCAATCCGCCCGAGCCGCATATCTTCCGGTACGAGAGGCCGCGCAACCGCACATTTACCATTAGCGGTGATGTGTTTGGAGCAGTTACGAGGGTTAGCGACGGGCACCACGACGAAACTAATGACATGTGATTTTCTATAGAACCTCATACTTTCTGTAAGCAGAGGTGTAGGCATGAGGGAGAGATGGGCAGGGGTCCACCCCCATTTTCCTTCAGGACCAATTGCGTGATTCTGAATGTTTTCATCTACGACATAAAATATGCCAAATGTGTGGCTTCCAAATTCGCAAACTCTCAAATTTAAAAAATGTTCCGGGGGACCATACCACGTGGCGGCCGGACGATTAGACTGACTACGCCCCTGTCTATATAAGCCAAATTATAATGAAGAAGATTTGAACATATTTCATTAAAAAGTTGAAATCCAATTTTAAAAACCATGCATTTCATTGTTCACTGAAAAATATAATACTCGTAAATATAAACTATTGAAATATTCGATGCAGTAATAGGGTATCGATTAGTATAGGTAATAGCACGGTTTCGAGTGCAATTTGGATATAACATGCACGAGTGAGTTTTTCAAAGACCTCAAAATAGTACGAGACCAAAGAACGAGTGCTATTTGAGGTCTTTGAAAAACTCACGAGTGCATGTTTATCCAAATTTCACAAGAAACCATGCTATTATTAATAATTTACTTAAACTGTTCGAAACAATTGTAGTTTCAACTTACGTTTATAGCGAACATTCCACTGGCAAAGTTTTCCTGGCTTTGTCATATCACATTATACAACGCCAACAGCTTGAAAATTCCATTAAATGAGCTATGTAAATTTTGTTTGTCTTGTTTAAGGCGAAGGCTTTTCCGCCATTATGTTTTGAAGCAATTTGTGACCGTTTATACTTCTTTAAACTAAACTGCTTTATAAACTGTGATTGGTTGATTTTATCATCACATTGTTTTTCTACCAATCAGATCAGCTTGTTACAGATTTTTGCAATTTGATTCAGAAAATTGCACTACATGCTGTTTGGAATTAACTGCACTGAAATCAACCAATCAGAGTCGAGTAATATTTTTATGTATATATATATATAATTAAATTTGTCACAAATATTTACAATGACACTGATAAACAATATACATAACAAGCTACAAGACAACACACGTGACTGGAATGTGGAACAGGACTTACGTCCCAATTAATACCTCACCCCATATATACTTCATAGGCACTTTCTCGGTGTGAGAACAAACGAAAGCTTAACACTAATCTGAACTTGATCATTATATAAATTCTAACTGATTTACGGTTGTTCGTACACCGAGCTAGTGGGTGAACTTTACTGAACTGAACTAAATACTTAGTACTTATATTACAAACATTTTCTTCACAAAACTAAATATTAGCTACGGTTATTAGGAAGTTTGTATGATTTTGACTTGATACTATATAAGTTATTTAAACGAGTTTTAAACGAACATAAACTACTGGATTTCTTAATTTTAGTTGGTAGGCTGTTCCAAAGTTTTGCTGATCTAATAAAGTAAGAGTTTTGAAAGTATTCCTGATTATGTTTTATAATGAGGTGGAAGTTATTTTCGTCATAGTTGCGAGATTGATAGGTGGGATTATAAGTGCATAAATATTTGTTTATATCCATTGTTATGAGGTGGTGTTTGGATTTGAACAGCAGTATCAGATCAGAAAGTTCTCTTCGGAATTCCAGTGGTAGAAGATTTGTTTTCTGCAACCGGTCCACGTACGACATGTCAGGATAATTCAAGATAAATTTTGTGGCCCGCCGTTGAACATTCTCGATGAGCAAACAATGCTTAATGGTGTAAGGCGACCACACGCTGCTTGCGTATTCTAGCTTGGGTCTGACCAGCGCACAATACAGAATTCTTCTTGTGTTGGTATTCTTCACTTCTTTACAAATCCTTTTGATGAGACCAAGTGTTTTATTAGCCTTGGATACAATGCTTTCTATGTGTTTCGACCAGGATAGGTTGTTGGATATTAGCACACCAAGGTCCTTGAAGGTCGACACTTGTTCGAGTATGTTCTCGTTGATTGAATACTGAGTTCGCGTAGGTGCTCTTTTTCTTGAGAAGTGCATGGTCTTACATTTTGTTGCGTTTAGTTCCATTTGATTATCAGCAGTCCAGTTTGTTATATTGGAAAGATCAAGTTGAAGTAAAGTAGAAGATGTGGGAAACAAAAGTGGTCGGTAAAGCTTTGAATCGTCCGCAAATAACGCAAGTGTGGAATTATTTTCGATGTAGATTGGAATGTCGTTACAGTAAACAAGGAATAGCAAGGGTCCGAGTATAGAACCTTGTGGCACACCTGATATTACGGGAAGCCATTCAGAGCAAACGCCGTGAAGAACGACTCTTTGTTGTCTATCTGTGAGGTAGCTTTGGAACCAAGATAATAGAGATCCCCTGATTCCCAAAGTCTCAAGCTTACGCAAAAGAAGATGATGCGGTACTTTATCAAATGCCTTTGAAAAGTCCAGGTATATGGCATCAACTTCATCCCACTTGCGACTGATTCCAGAATTTCATGGTATACTTCAAGCAGCTGTGTGGTTGTGGATTTTCCTCGTATAAAACCATGCTGCATTTGATAAATGTGTGGCTCGAGATGCTGGTAGGAATGATTGTGAACGCAACGTTCTAGGACTTTCGACAAAGTGCAAAGTAGTGAGATTGGCCTGTAGTTCATTGTCAGCGTTGGATCTTCGCGTTTGAATACGGGTGTAATGTTCGCCATTTTCCATTTAAGAGGTACTACACCAAGATTTAATGACATGTTAAATATCTCACATAACGAAGGTGCAATAACGTCCGCAAGTTCGATCAGCAGTCTGTTCGGAATGTTATCTGGACCACACGCCTTTCGTGAATTTAGTTTGCGAAGAACTCCAACAACTTCAATTTCCGAGAGTTCAATACTGGAAAGCTCGGGCATTGATGACGTTGAGGGTAAGGGAGATTTATTAAATGATTCCGAGCTCTTAGGGTTGAAGACAGAATGAAAGAATGTATTTAAAGTATTTGCCATCTCAAATTTGTCCGTTGTAAATGAGTCTTCAGTTTTCAGGAAATTGATGTTCTTTCGGTTTTCCGTCGAGTGTTTTACAGCCGCCCAAAATCGTCGAGGATTCTCATACAAGGACTCTGTAAGCTTGATGTTGTATTGTTTATTTTTCTTATTGATCAGTTGCTTTGTTAAACGCCTTAAGTTTTTGTATTTCTCTAGGTTAGCTGGGCTTGGAAATTTTTTATGCTTTCTTCTTTGTATGTTTTTCTTCTTAATTTGCCTGAGTAGTTCCTTATCTATCCACGGGTGGTCATGCACACTCTTGATGCAATATTTTGGTATGTGTTTATCTACGGTTGAAAGGAACATGTCACACCAGTTCGAAAGTGTCTCATCAATGTTACTGGGAACAAAACATAAATCCCAACGTGTGTTTGCAAGTAATACTTTAAGATTGGACCAATCAGATTTTGCAAAATTGTAAACGAAACGCTCAACTCTTGGTTTACTTTGTATTTTCAAGTTGATTTCAAAGCTTATGAGTTTATGATCTGTACTTAAGACGTCATCAAACCCTGTCACATTCTGAATTTTGTTCGGTATATTAGTAAGAATTAGATCAAGTGTGTTCTCACCTCGGGTAGGAAAGTCAACCAATTGCCACAAATAATGATCTTTCACAGTTTTCGTAAAGTGTTGATAAATGGTATTGTTGTTAGCCGATACTCCAGTGGTCCAGTCAATATTTGGTAAGTTGAAGTCGCCGCAAACTATAATTTGATCAAACTTACTCCGTCTTTGAATGAGCTGAAGAGATCTTTTGAATTCCTTGATGTATTTTAAATCCGA